ACCAGAGCCAGATCTCCACTTCAGCTGCTTCCTATCCAGGTGTTCTTGACTGGGACATCACAGGAAGCACTGAAAAGAATTCTTCTTCACTCGGAGACTTTACTCTGGCAGTCACTGACCCACACACAGCTGCTTCCTCCATGTTTATGGCAGCCCAGTATGATAAAACTGCAGGCCCCAATAACATGGCCCCTCTATATCCATCACTTTCTGCCAGACTTGCTCAGGGAACACCATCTCAAATTCCCAATCAGGGACACAGCCTGTCACTTCCCTACCAGGAAGGAAGGCAAATATATTACTATAACCAAGGAACATTGGGGTCTTTACTGTATGGAGAACTTGGCTCCTGCCTGCAATCCTATGGCTCTGTGTCATACACAGGAAGTAGGGCCTCTGTGCAACCAGAATTGGTAATGGTACTAAGGGAGATTCAGCCCACAAATATCCAACCACCAGCTTCCACCTCTGGAATCTACTACCCTGTGTATGCTCAACCCATCACAGAAACAAGTTTTCAAGAAATCCCTGATACTCACCAGCTCCTGGCTTGCACTGATCCCCTCAGCCAAGAGGAGAAGCCTGGTTCTGAAAATGCTGATCTGGGAAAGAACAGCCTGAGTCTTGAGGACCGAGGGACAGTTGAAAATGGGATGGAATCTAGCAGTGGTTTTGCAGACATTACTACATTGGCAGAGGATATTCACCTTCCCCAGCTCTTTAATTCTTTGAAAGATTTTGATCAATCCAAAGGTCCCAACGTGATCAAAGCCAAAGGCAACAGAGCCATTAAGGTGAATCAGGTGCAGGAAAAGACAGGTGTCATAAAGGTTCCCTCTGATCAACCCAGGAAGAACAAACATAAAGCCTCTGAGCCTATCAGTGGTGCTCCCAAGGCCAAAATCTAGCCAAAGAATCGAGTGCCTGTTAGGGGGAGAAGTGGTTCTATGCAATGCTGCAGTCAGTGACAGGGCTCCTGTGAACACGGCCAAGGATTCTAAAGGCAAACCTCAGAAAGCTGCATCCAGAAAGATCAGCAAAATGAGCGAGCCATGGGCAGGAAAAGACAAAAAGCACCCGAGGAAGAAAGAAGGCTGAAGAGAAAAAGCAGTCAGGGGACAAATTCAAGGCAGAAGAGAAGCCAACAATTCCCCAGACGAAGCGAAAGCAACACCAAACTGAGCTTATCCAAGAGAGCTTTAAAAAGCCTCGAACCTCCATAGGCATGCGCATGCTGGAGTCTGTGAAGGTTTTTCATGCACTGGAGAAGAAGAATGATAAGAGAACTGGGCTCTCCTCCTGTTGGGTCTTGGGAAATTCAAGCAAACCTAAAGACCCCCAGCCACCCCCAGCTATCCAGCCATGGCGGAATACCCCACGTGAGGGTAAGGGTCCTGAGAAAACTCAAGTCGAAGCCCAGAAACCAGACAGCAGTGCTGAAAGAGAGTGTCCGTCTCCACCCCAGTATGAGCTGCTGCCTCCTGGGAAGGTCAAGTTGATACCTCTGCCTTTCTCTGCCTGGGACAAGCCCCAAGGTCGACCTGCTCCTCGGAGGCCACAGTCTCTGGCCTCACATCAGCCTGCTGTTGCTGACCGTGCCCACCCTGCTTCTACTAACTCAGCTCAACCTGCTGCAGTCAGTTCTTCCCAGCCAGCTCCTGCCTCTTTGCCAGGTCCTGCCAAACCATCTCAGCCAACTGTGACCAACCCAACGTAACCAGGTTGGACCGACCGTACCCAGCCTAGTGTCCCTCAGTCTGCTGCTCCTAGGCCTGCACCCTAAAAAACTTCACCTTGCACCTCTCTCCAGCGAGAGCCTGTTCCCCCTGCTGTGACTAAGCGCCAGTCCCCAGCCAAGCTCCAAACCCCATTTCTACTCCAAGACTTCAGCAAGCAACCAGTTCCATGGAGGGAACGCAATGTTCCTGAGGCAGTAATGTCAAAGCCCATCAAAAAAGAGCAGAGGCCAGAGCGGGAGGCCATGAAGAGGCGGGCCCAACAACAAGGTGAGAATGCTGCCAAATACACCTCTTTGGGGAAACTGCAATTTTTCATTGAGAGGGAAAAAGAAATGGAAATTGCTGACTACTACGGATATTTAAAGTAAGAGCTGCTAGGATTGCTGGTGCCACCTTGGGGACCAGCTGTTCTTCCATATATAGACAAGATAGGCATAAATTTATTTATATTGGTATATTTTAAAACAATAAAACTGAATAAAAAATGTAATAGAATTAATAGATGAGTAATAAACCTTTTGAATTTTGAGATGCTGCTAACTGTGGCGTGTTTTTTTGTTTTGTTTTTGATGGAGTTGGAGTCAAAGTCTGCATGAGAAAGGAAGAACTGAATGTTGGATAGGAGAATGAAGGGGTAAAAACTGAGGAAAGAGGAAGGAACTTGGCCCAGGGCTAGGAAGGCCAAAAGAGATTTATGGATTTATGAAAGGAAGCAGGAGTGAGGATGAAATAGCAGAAGTGAAAAGCAGGGTCAGAGGTCAGGGTTGAAAGAACCAAATCTGAGTAGAGTTGAAGATGACAGAAGGTGACTCTAGGTTTACTAGGAGAAATAGAAAAGGTCTCTTGGGGAGGCTGGCCTTAAGTCTCACAACCACCAGATAGGTATTTAAGAAAACAAGAGGTTCAGGACACATCTCTGAAAGGTTTGAGTTGCCTTATTCAGGTGTGATTATAGTGGGGGGATAGGGAAATCTACGAGAGAGGTGGCTAGGGCTCAGAGTTATCCTAGGGGCAGCTGACAACAGGGGCAGAGCCAAGGGAACTGCTGCATCAGGAGGCCCACGAATAGGGCCTGGTATGTACATCACCATGTACTCAACACCTGAGCACCAGGGCAGCTAATGAACTATTCAGTTAATCCTGGCAATGACAGGCAAGGCCAGTATTCCTGTGCCACTTCACTTAGAGAGGTGAATATAATCATCAAAATCTAGATGGGACAAATTACCTGGTTTGTTTAAAAATAAAAGTCAAGGAGGAAAAAAAAAAGTGACAGAGACATGGAGGGAGAGCCTAGAGATTAAAGAAGACTTCAGAGACCTAACAATCAACGGCAAAGTGTGGACCTTATTTGGATCTAACTCAAAATTCTTAAAAACAATTTTTTATGACATTTAGGAGACAACTGCAAATTTGAGCAGTCACTGGGTATTTACTATTAAAAAATGATATTAAGGAATAGAAGTCCTAGATTTTAAATATACAAACCAAAAATATATAGCTGGGGCTTCCCTGGTGGCGCAGTGGTTGAGAATCTGCCTGCCAATGCAGGGGACACAGGTTCGAGACCTGGTCTGGGAAGATCCCACATGCTGCGGAGCAACTAGGCCCCTGAGCCACAACTACTGAGCCGGCGCGTCTGGAGCCTGTGCTCCACAACAAGAGAGGCCGCGATAGTGAGAGGCCCACGTACCGCGATGAAGACTGGCCCCTGCTTGCCGCAACTAGAGAAAGCCCTCTCACAGAAACGAAGACCCAACACAGCCAAAAAATAAATAAACTAAATAATTAATTTTTAAAAATGTATAGGTGTAATTACATGTTGTCTCGGAGCTGCTTCAAGATAATATGGAATGGGGTGAAACAGGTGGGGATATAGATAAAACATGACAGCCATCAGTTGGTAAATAATAAAGCTGGATGAGTTCGTGGGTATACAAGGAACACTCACAGTATTTTGTATACTTTTGTAAATGTTTAAAATTTGTGATAATTGTTTAAAATCAAGACGACACTGTAGAAAACAGTTTGGCAGTTTCTCAAAGTTTAAACGTAGAGCTACCGTATGATCCAACAACTGCTACTACCTACACTGCCCATCTAAAAGAACTGAAAGCAGGGATTTGAGCAAATATTTGTACACCAATGATCATAGCAGCAAGATTCACAATAACTACAAGGTGGAAACAACCCAAGTGTCAATCAACCGATGAATAACAAAATATGGTATATACACACAGTGGGATTTATTAAGCCAAAATAGGAATGGCATTTTATTACATGCTATAACATGGATGAACCTTGAAAACAATAGGTTTAGTGAAATAAGCCGGACATAGAAGGATAAATATTGTAGATTCCACTTACACGAGGTACCTAGAATAGGCAAATACATAGAGACAGAAAATAGAAGAGCGGTTACTAAGGGCCGGTGGGAGGGAAAATGGGGTTGTTACTGTTTGATGGTTACAGAGTTTTTGTTGAGGATGATGAAAACGTTTTGGTTATAGACAGTGGTGACAGTTACACAACACTGTGACTGCATTTAATGCCACTGAACTGCATATTTATAAATGCTTAAAATAAATATGATTTATGTATATTTTACCACAGTAAAAGAAAGAGGAATAACTCAGATGAAATTTCAATTCTTCCTTGTCCGAGAGTCAGTTTCATCGTCTTTAAAATTAGTAATTGTAGTTGTCTATCCTCTGAGTTTAGTGCAGAGTAAGCACTCAGTAGGAGGTATCAGTACTACTTCCACTTCAACAGCAAAGGACTCTTGTGAAGAGTAACTAAGTCAATGGATATGAAAGAACCTTATAAATGGCAAACTGCTATACAAATGTTAACAAACATTAGGTGTTACTGTCTCCCAAGGCCATGGAACAGGTCAGAAGAAGGATAATTCTTTTGCATTGGTATGTCCTACATGGGCCAAGAGAACACATGGGTTTCTGTATTATATCAGAAGATATTAGGAAAAGAAAGCATAAAACTTAGAGAACAATTGTCTTTAACAGTGATGCTTAAACATGCTCAGGCAACAGCTTAAAATAAGTGCTAAAGACATAATGGACATACTTTTCTTTCCTTTTAGGCTACTACTATTCTTACTAAAAGTTTACTTCATTTTCAAAATATAGAACATGGAAGCTTATAGACTTTCTTAAGCATCTCTAGAGGCTACTGCTGAAGACTATAGTTCAATTCATATCTTTAATCTAATTTTGAAACAGCAATTACAAATGCGTATTTAAGGAAACGACTAGCTTCCCTTTTTGAACCCATGAAAGAAGGCCAGGATTCACCTTAGCATAAGATGATAACTACTGAATTACTATGAATTTTTACAGTATCAGAAAGAAGGTCATTTTCAATTACGGGTTCCATTTACCTCTGGCTTAAAATAGCGGCGAGTATATGTTAAGTCAATAATCAGCCCAAGTTCTTCATTGTGTTCTTGGAGTTTGTTAAGGGGGGAAAAAACATTCTTCTGGAGCAAGATTCTTTTCAAAACTCTGTCAGAAAGAATAAAGTAAGAAAGAACATGCGTTTAAAATCCTTTATTATATTATCCATTTATTCAAACCCTGTGATGCTAACATATGAGATTCAAAGTAAAGTTTTTTCCTCTGGAGTTTACAAGCGGTATTACGATCCTTTCTTCCAGAGAGATTAGATGGAAGAAAATAAGCTCACTTCTATATAGTTATTTCTATATCTGTTTATTTCATGTTGGTCTCCTAACCAGACTGTAAACTCCCAGAAGGCAGGGACTACATCAATTTTGCCTACCGCTGTACTGCCAGCTCCAAGCAGAGTGCCTGTAAATAGACACATAAATAAATACTTCTTGAATATCTACCTATATCAAGGATGGTTTTCACTGCTAAATAATCTTTTATGTATTTGGCTTATTTATGTACTCTGTTCGATTGATCTGTTTGGTTATTCAAGTGCCAGCAACACACTTTTCTTTTTAAATTAGGAGACTATCTTTAGAGCAGTTTGAGATTCACAACAAAACTGAGCAAAATGTACACAGTTCCCACTTATACCCTCTCTCCTTCATCCCACACAGCCTTCCCCATTATCAACATGCCATACCAGTGTACTTCATTTGTGAGAATTCAGGAACCAACACTGACACATCAGTATCAATCAAAATCCATAGTTTATTGCATTCATGGTACAAGTAACTGACTATTTCTTTATTTCTAGTATAGTCATCCCCAAACATTTACATACTGAGATACATATTACTCTCTTATAAATTACATTATTCTTTACTTATAGTTAGGGCATTCCACTGGTTTTGTTTTTTTTAAATTAAGTACAAAAGTAGGTTGTATTTATCTATGAATTCCATTTCTGGATAGTAAAGGCGGTATTAAAAAGTATTTGCTATAAAAAGGGAAAATGGAATATGATGGGGTTGAGAGCCAGGGCTTTATAGGGTGAATTCAGATTTCTGGAAGAATGCGGTATTAACTTTTGCTTACCTTTTTTAAAGGAACTTTGAATGCAGTGAAACGAGTCCCAGGCATCCGCTCTCCAACTGGGAGATAGTCTTTCCACCTATTTATATATATTTTGTTAGGCAAATTTTATGTTTGGCTGTCTCCTTGCATAGGATGAATGCGCCTTGAAAATGGAAATCATATCCCTCTATAGTAGGTCCCTCTTCTTTCTGCTTTGCACTTTGCTGCTCCACTTATTCAACCTCACGTTGTAATAAGCTATACTTCCCTCGTTCCTGTTTTCCCATCTTGAAAACAGATAAAAGGCAACAAAACAATGCAAAGGTCTCAAAAAATTAGGGATATCTAAAACCAGAGATGCCCAGAACTTCTGTATCTCTAATAAAACCTAGCCCGGTGTTGACTACTATGGTATCATTAATACATACATGTTGACTGAAATAGTTTGAACTCAATTCTTCCCCTTCACAGTTTAGTTTTAGTCCTCACACAAAACATGATAATAAAATTCTTTAATGCTAGGAATCACAGTGAAAAATAATATCTGAACTGACTTCTGTAAGATGAGTTAGAACTAAGGTTAATTCAGTATATCTGAAGCATAGAAAGTGAGGGCAATAGTGGCACAAGATAGGGCTAGAGAAGCAGAGAGGATTCTAGACCACGCAGAGTCTTAAAGGCCAACAGTTTGTTTTCTATTCTCAAAACAATGCTTTTGAGCGATGTCTATGAGCAATGTTCCAACTTGCTTTTAAGGTTTCTTGTGTGAAGAATGGATTGGAAGGAAACAAGAAATATGGACACTACTTAGGACCTAATTGCAGCACACAGGCAAGTTCAGTATTAGGATGCTGAGGAAGAGGTGACAGATTCGGAAGAAATTCAGGAGATAAACCGAAGCGGGTTTAATGGGGTATGAGATGGAGGAAAGGAAGGTCTTAGGGAATTAAAGGGTTTACTGCACACATGAGCAAAGTCTCAAAATTAATCATTTGAACGTACAGAGAGATCTCTCAAATGACACCGGTTAGGAAGCAACAGTACGCCCTTTATAATTCCTAGAGACAACACAAATCAACTGTTTCGATGGAAAATTCGGCAGTACCCGTGCGTATTTTCACTCAACCTTAGTTCCAGGTCCTCTTACTCACATTTTCTGTGCCAAAACAACACAGCTTGAGGAATTGAAGGGGATTCCATTTTGGTAATTAAGGAGTGTCCCCAACACTGACAGTCCCATCTTAAAAAGCAGTCCCTCTGCATTTTACCCGAGGAGCTATGGCCAGAGCCTCCCTTTGAAAACGATGAGGGGAAATCAGAATATCACACACTGTCCCTTTCAGCTACTGTGAACTGAGCCGCGAGACGACCAATACCCCCTAGCACAGCGCGGACGGGGCAGCGCGCGGGGGCAACAGTCACAGGTGACGGCACAGGAGACGAAGCCCAGGCCCAGGGGCTCTGAGCTCCACCAGCAACGCCCAGTGGCCAAGGCGTATTACCTTTCCGGGATGTGCTTTCCGCCCTTCCTCCTGGCCGACGAACCTCCGGAAAAGCCGCGACGCTGACACCAGCGCCCACGGGCATGATGCCACTGGCTCACGTGACCCCCAAGATGCCGCCCACCCAACGCCAAAAGTGCTGAAGTCGCCAACCCGGCGCACTCGGTGCCAGCACAAGGCCCCGAACCACAAGCGCCAAGGCACAAGCCCACACAGCTCGCGGACCTCCTTCTACTGCGCATGCGTCACCGCCCGTCCAGATGACGTCCTCACGCCGAGACACTTCATTAGTAGAGGAGTCTGACGCCTGCAATTCCCTCCTTAGCCGGAAGATGGTAGCAGAGGTCCATTAGTTCGTGTGTGCACCCTTCAGAACTCCAATCATATGGGACATGGAAAGTTGTCCCACTCTCCCAGTATCTTGTGTGGTTCTTTCAGATATTTCCCAAGTGCTTACGTTCACACTTGTATCTTGTATGTAAGTATTTCTACGTAATGGAGATCCTGTATTTTATACAAGAGCAGCATACTATACATAGTCTACAATCTGTCTTGGATAGTGATTTTGCCAGTCAATTTTTGCGTACATCCATTCGATTCTCTTTAATAGCTGCGTCAGATTACATACTTTACATGGCCAGTCCAATATTGACGGACTTTTAGTTGTTATCAGTTTGGGGGTATTTTGTTTGTTTGTTTTGTTTGTTTGTTTTTGTCCTCTGTTATAGATAGGCTGCAATGTGAACCTCTTTATACATGTGTATAGCTATATACAAATTTCTAGACATAGAAATTCTGGAATGAAAGAGATGCAAACTTAAAATATTGAAAGATTTTCAATCCATCTAATCTGCCTAATCAACCTTCAAAAATACTCTATCAACTTATACTCCACTCACAGTGAAACATTTATTGGGTTTCTATTATGTGCCTGGTATCATGCTGGAGGTTGACAGTATGGATTTACATTTTAGACGATACCAAAATATGCCTGAGAGAGATAAGAGTGGAGCTCAAGTATAACATTTCCTCACAGTATCAGGCATAGGGATCTGTACCTGTTAGAAAAACTATGAATCCTGCCACAAGTGGAACAGCAAAGAACAGCATGTCCTACAGTAGGTCTGAAGGTATAATAGCATACTAAATTCCATTGTTATTTATAATAACCTATGTTTTTTGTTAGTTTTACTTTTCAGTTTCTAATTTCTGAAAGTATCTGACATACACTGTTAGTAATCTTCTTCACAACCATTTGAGCTGGGTAAACTGAGTCAGGAAGGTCAGAATTATTGAATGAATGAATGAATGAGTAAAAAGTTCAGTAGCTTTAATGTATCTGGGACAGTCCATAGTCTAACCAAGTTTCAATCCACAAGCATTTATTTACAATTCTGAAAACTTCCACATAATTACAAATGGGACAATAGTAGTTAATTACTACTTGGATAAAGAAAAGATACAAGTTAGCACAACCTAGTTCACAAACTTACAATTAGGCACATTCAATTTGGTGCTAAGTCATAAAATATTCTTTTGCAATTTATGAAAAATATCCAATAGGCATGTAATGGCCAAAAAGTACAAATGATACAAATATCTATAGACATGACAATGTACAAATTGTGACATAAATCTATCAGAAACTAGAAAATCTATGTTGGTCTTATAGTTCCAGCTTGCTAAAAGATACAGGTTTTGGGTGGGAACACAAATAAATCCAGACCTGGCCATAACGGGGTTTCCAGAAAGTATGGGAACTAGCAAAGAGTAGGCCTCTGGATGGGAGTGGGTCCAACATGAGATGAAATAATGCCTTAATGGGTATGTAGTATGCTGGGATGGAAAATATAGGAGCAAGGGATATTTGGAGAATCAGACAGCTAAGTATTTGACACTAACAAAATCTACCAGTATCCCATAGGGCCTCAGGTACCATGCAAGGGTTTGAGGGATTCCAGTATTTAATTAAATCAAAATGTGACAATGGGAAGAATTAAGGACAGCCTCAGGGGTAGACGAACTGGGGATGTTTACACCAAGACATGTCTCAGTTAACCTGATGGGTTCAAAATGCAGGAAGTGGGTATACGGGACAAGACAATACCCTAACTGTAAGAATAAAGGTTTCGGTCAGGGTAGGGCCTCATGTTCCTAAGTGTTGAAATAGAGCTCTTTAGTTTCTTCCTCCTACATGTAAGATTCTTTTAGAGGTTAAGATGATTCTGAGCCTGCAAGCTAAAGTTAAATGGCTGGAACCAGGGAGGGAAACTAAGTTACATAGGCTCGGAACCAGGAAAAGCCTAACTAACGGTTTGCCTAACTAAACAGAATTGAATGTTGGAACTGAATATTTTAATATGTAAACATGTTACTGACCCCAAAATGTGGCTTACCACACTCCCCCCAATCTCACACCGCCCACCCTAACCTGCAGTGGCTATGGGTCCCTTGATTTCCATGGAAATATAGAGAAAAGAGACACTGATCTGGCTTTCAGGTATTTAGTAAGTTGTTAGGCTCACATCACATACTAGTATCATGTAAGTAGACCATCTGAAGTAGGAAGCTTAGGGGAAAAACCTTGAAAAACACTTAACAGCTTAAGCCACATCTCTATACTACAACACCTTTCACAATTTCTTCTCAGATAAGCATCATCCCCATCAGTGAAAAAACTCGTATCTCATAATAATAAAAACAGGCCTAAATATTAAATGTGTGTCTTTGGAGGTCCCATCTATGGGATATCTTCCTGGTACTAGAAAAGTCGCCAGAAAGATCAATCTTTGCACCCCTCCCTGAAAGCTTACCACCAAGGAAAATGACTAGATCCATAGATTTCCTCCCTCAAACCAGCTTACCTCAAACATAAATCATTAGCAACTCAGCCTTTACTCACATTATCACAGTCACAAGAGTGATTAGGGAGCAAAGCACTAACCACGGGAACTAAAACAGAGGTCACCCAGGCCAAGTTGGGCTGATGGCAGATATCTGCTCCTTACGCTTGGGTGCATAATGCGACTCGCCACAATGCCTTTTTCACAGACCCTTTTTAAAGTTTCTCCACAAAATCCAACAGGTCATGTTCGTTCATGATGCTTTGAGATAAACAATTGTCAAGAGAAAAACATGCAATATGTCTTACAATGTTGCAGTCCTTAAAAATATGACAAGGAGATAACCATGTAGACAAAACCAGAGCATTTAAAATAATCTGTATTCTACAAACATACCAGTGAATGCTATTAATAAGGTAATATGACATAAAACAAAATGAGAAATATATGTAAGACTGTTCCCTTTAGTGTACAGAAATCATGGCAGTTGCTGCACTATCGAGCTACTTACATCTATGACTGTCTGTTCTGGTAATACAAAATGAGGCCAAAGTGTGTCAACTTGTTTCCCACAGAAACCAAAAAATCTACATGAATCACTTTTCTCCTGTGCCCTTTCACCTTATCTGCTCCCAGTTCTCCACGAATGTCCTCTTCCTTCTCTAATTATTCTCCTCTTCATTTTGCTTGGCCTTGCACCCAAGCATGCAAGACAGAGAATCCTAGAGGTCCAAGATTCTAGAGTGGCTGTTTGCAAGGGGGAGGAGGAGATTACAGTAACTGCCACACCGTATATACTTCTGTGCAAAGAAAAAGGGACAGTATTCAGAATGTCTCTCACATATAAAAGAGCTGGATGGATGGCAGGATACCTGTGTGGCCCAAGGAACTAGAGGTAGCAAATCATGGGGAAAACAACTGTAACCAAAGGCTGGAAGAGGAAATGTTTGCAACCAGCTCTGTCTCCTAGCTCTCTGGTATTTGCGTCCAATGGGCAGAGTCTATTTTGTGAAGCATCAAACACTGAAAAGAAGACTCCTGCTGCTTGAAGTTGACAGGAAGTAACATCCATGAGGGTAAGATCAAGGCTTGTCCTAGAAACAATGCCCATAATGGAAAAAAAAAAAAGAAAGAAAGCAGAAGAGAAATGTAAGTCCAACCTGGCCCATCCTCGCCCTGCCCAAGGAAGGTAGGAGTCAAGGAGATGAAACTAAAAGAGAAGAGCCTTGGACCACAACATTCTCCACAAGGTACACTCAACAAACTTCACCCTACTCTTTAACCAAGTTACAAAAAGAGCTTCTTAATCCCTACACTTGCTCCTTAAAAGCTGCTATAAGTTCACTAATTAGACAGATACGATTTCAGAACAACTGTAATAGTTCAAACTAGATGGCTCTTTCCTTCCAAAGGATATTAATTAAGATATATATAGCTCTAAGTATATGATACATAAAATATTAATACTCTGTAGGATATAAGTAACTGTTAGTAAATTATATTAATGAATGTCTGTAAGAAATGTTGCAATGATTTCCCTAATGTAAGAGCCTGGGGGAGGTAAATCTGTCTTCTAGGATTTCCTCCCCAGAGCTCAGAAATTTAGGTGTTGTTTTAGCTCTCCTACACTCTGTCCACCCAACCCCACCTTCCTGTTTGGGATCGGACCTCCCTATTGGCTATCTCATACCTTGAAACTGCCTGCTTTGTGACATCATTCTCCTATATCATATAAGTGACCAGTGAGTAGTAACCAGTGACCTTTGTACTGGACACATGCGCTGTTCAGCTGCAGCCACTCAGACATCTTCTGGTGTTGCCTCCTCATCCCTTGTATCTGCAGTTGATGTTTTCTCTTCTTCTCTGACCATGTCAGGTAAGAAAAGAAACTTTTAAAAGTTTTTCATTAGATTTATTTTGCCCCTAAATTTACTAGTAGATTCAAAATAGCATGGAATAATGAGGGAACGTATTGCACTAGAAGTCTGGAGACCTAATTTCAGGTTTGACTTTACTATCTGTGTGACTTTGGACAAATCAGTGACTGTCTCACAAAGCCTGATATTTTCCTTATCTGTTACGTTAGGATACTACATTGGTTGATCACTCTGATCCCTTTCTTCTCTAATATTGAGCCTTAAAGGGTACCCATGTAGAAAATGAAAGCAGGGACTTCTCAAGAGTGTTTCAACAGAAACACAGAAAAGCCAGGTGACATAGAAAACTAGCAATATATACCAAGATGTTTCATCTCTACTGGTCTCCCTCCACTAATATTTCGACTAGTTGAAAAGAGAAAACAGGGAGAGAGGATGGAGAGTACTGGGCTATATAGGGAGGCACAGAGTCAAACGTAAGGAAGTTTAGGATTGTTTTCATCAGCACAGGCCAACAGGAACCAAGAGATAGGAAACAATATAAGAATGAAGAGGGAAAGCATTGAGGAGCTCTCAAGAAAAACGTAGTTTGCAATGGAATGTTGATGGGAACCAAAGATTTTAAATTAAAGCAGAAACAGCATAGAGTGAATTCTGCTCAGAGCAGGGCAAAACAAAGTTGATTGTAGCAAATCCTTATTTTAACAGACTAAGAGGAAAATAAGGACAGAAGAGGGTATCACCAGGAAAGGCAGCT